TCTCATTAATTAATTTTATATTTAATTTTGCATGTAACACCCTCTTTTTATTCTATTTATTACTTGATAAATTGTTTTAATATTGGGTAGTGTTGGGATATGTTTTAAATTGAATGGAATAATGTTTATTAGAGTTTTGGTGTAGGGGATCTCACTTAGGTGAGGCAGGTTTCGCTCAAGCCAGACTGAGTGCCCAGAACCATATGTTTTTAGGGCAATCTTGCTCAAGCGAGATGAGTCTCGCTCGAGCAAGATAAGATAGACTTGACCTAACTGTCCTCTCGTCCAAGCGAGAAGTGATCTCGCTCAAGCAAGCAAGATTTCGCTCAGGCAAGCTGAGTCGCTCAGGCGAGAACTCACAGAAATTAACTCTTTGGACGTCTTCTCACTTAGGCAAGAATGACCCTCGCTCAAGCGAGAATATCAAAAAATATTTAGAATGACCATTGTCTAATTTTCTCGCTCATGCGAGACTAGGCTGACTTAGGCGAGAGTGACCTTGCTCAAGCAAGAAATGTTCGCTCAAGTGAGAGAGTGCGAGATTTGAGGGGTATTCAAGGGAATTCCGGCATGAGAAACTTCATTTATGTTCTAAGTTACGTTTCCTCCTCATTTTCTCTGAACTCTCACTTCCTTCGCTCAGATAAAACTTCTTCAAACTTCAATCAATCCTTGAATCCAAACTTGGACGTCAAATATAAATGCCTCTAAGTATGTTTCTCTGGGTTTAACTCTATTTGGTCCATTCGTTTCTCTTGCTTTTTGATTTCTTAAGGGTATCTTGTGATATCCAGGAAAACTTCTATTGCTGAGTAAGAACCTTCATCAATCTTTCTCCAAAGACTCATCTTGATGTAAGGAGAACTCTATTTTATCATTTTATTAAAGTGTATATTTTGTGCTTGTGGAGCATTATTACATAATTATTGTATGATAATATACGTGTTTGATTGATTACTTTGAGTGGTCATGTTGTATTATATGTAATATGTGATAAGAGCCAAGTGTAGAGATGTTATGATAAAGTATGATATTGCGCTTGTTGATTTGAGATGTTTAGACTATATGTTGAGATGTGTATATAAAAATTTAACTGAAAAGTGTGATGAGTAAATGTTATCTGGTAGTTAAGAATTATATGACTGTGATAAAGGATTAATGATACTAGTCTAAAGGACTTAATGATTGAAAATATATCATGATGGTATAAATTATGTGAACTTAGTTCAGAAGTGCTTTACTAAGCACAATCTTTTAGCTAGATAAGGGAAGTGGCATGAAAAGGAATATGATATGAGTATAAAGTGTTGAACAGATCTAGTGTGAATAGTTATAGAGATACACTAGGGGTATAGAGTTCGAAAACAATGAAAAATATGGGAAAAATGTAGGATGGTGAGCGACATTCATATATGTGTACACACTCTTTCTGAGAGTGAATGCGTGACATGGCCTCACACTCATTTCCTGACTAGACTCTTAACTATACCTTTGCTAATAGGCCCGTTATTGTATATGTTGTATCTGTGTGCATAGGCTAACCGATGACTATTTACCTAGTTGAATAAGACCTCAAAAAATGCTTGAAGCATCGTATTTTTGTGATCACAGTGTATTCAAAGTGTATATTTAAGAGAGAGATTTGAGGATTTATGATAAATTATGTATTATGACTATGTGAGAATTGTTGTTATGTTGTTTTGTGGTTGAATTTATTAAGTGATCTTCTATTCTGTGCTTATAAGTATGCTTTGATATTAACTTTTGTTATAAATGTATGTTTAATGATAAGGTAGATGTTTATCCTTCCTAAACTTTTCAGGGAACAAGGACGACAACACTCCGAGAGAGAATTAGATTGATAGATAGTTATGTATAGTGTAGATTAATTATGTATTTAATGATTATCAAAGGTTTTGTTATTTTAAGTTTGCTATAGATTACAATAATGTACCTAGCCACATACACACTTTGGAGATAGACCTATACTATAGTATTCCATTAGATTTTTCCTTTTAATGATAGGATCCATCATACTCTTTGTATATATATTTATAGAGGAACTGTTAGGACTCTGATAAATGTAGATTTTACTAGTATTTTACCTTAATTTTTAATACATTTTATATGAAAAACATGATGAAGAAAGCTGGAAAACTCATAAAAATAATAAAATATTCATTTCTAAATAGTTTAATTGTTTAGATTTTGTGAATTTTCTAT